TAGGCAACGACCGCGCAAGTGATGGTTTGTTACCTCTGTGTTTATTAAAGTCGTACTAGCAATCTGAACTCCACCGCTGGCAATCGCTGTCCGTGCCCCGCCGCTTCGAGGCGGCCGAAAGGTATGTGACGGTGCCGAACGCGGACGTCTTCGCTATTTGTGACATGGGCGCCGTGGTACGTATAATTCCGCCCGGCCTGTGTCGCGTGTTACTTCTGCAGCTAAGCAGTGACAGTCGTCACTGGTCGTCGGAAAGATCAGCCGGCTGAGGCGTTGGTGGGCTGGTCAAGTTCGAGCAGCGGCCATTTTGAACGGCGGAAGGAGAAGGGGTGAGGAGGGGTGTGGGGGAGGTCGCTCCAAAAATGCAAGTTTATCTTCCCCTCGTCGATACGGAGCGGGTCCCACGGAGCGGAATTTTGCCTCCCTCGCGGATTTTGGAAAGCGCTCCAGATCTACGAGTGGAATTCACCATAACGATCTGCATTCCCCCTTATTGGGAGAAGAAGATGCGCTCGCACTTGTGAATACGGACTTCTAAGTAACTTTTTTTTAAAAGCACTACTCAAATTTTTTTTTTAATGTTTATGGTTCGATATTAGGTAACTGCTAACGATAAATAGAAAACCTTAATAGGCCAAAATTTTGCTCAGCAGAGCACCTGTGCGAAGTCCCGTTCAAAACTCTCATAGCACGAGATTCGAGTCTTAATAGCGGCCATACAAACAATATATTACAATTTCTGTTGGTAGTTCCTGACAGACTACTATATTAACTAACTGTGAATAAAAAATGAAAAAAATAAAAAGTGGTTTTTTTTAGAAAATCGACTCCAAACTTGCTAGTTTTTCGAAATATTCGTTTTTCAGGCACATGTAGCGCATGATATACTGGTGGCAAAATATTGAAACTATACTCAAAAGAAAGAGCATAATTGGTGCTTTACGGTGATATAAAGATCGTAAACATATGTTGATTAGGTCACACAGCACAGCTTGCTGAACTTCGTCAAATATCGTCACAGAGAGGCGGTTTGACAAATAAAAAAAAAATTCATTAAGAATGTTATGACCTAGACGCTTGATTAGCATGAAAAAGCCTATGTCTAGAGTGTTCCCAAAAAGTTATATTGATGTAGCGTAAAAAGTAGGGAAAAGGGATGGAGTGAAATATGGCACCTCCGATAGGCTGGAAAAACATCAATTTCCACCTTGACCGCTTCAACGGTCCATAACTTGAGAACAAAAAATCCGACGAAATAACCGTTTGCGTCTTCTTTTATTATAGGAATTGCCCCAAAACATATATTTTTTTCGTCAAAATTAAAAATTCGTCCCTAAATCCGTGCCTGAGTTGAGATGAAATCACCCATATATATATTGTTTAACGTAAGAGTGACCAAAATTCCTGAAATTATTGTATTCAAGGTAAGAGGATAATGTTCTCGGGACCGCAATACTCGCGGTGGACTACGTCAGCGAAAACGCGATAGTTACTAATTAGTCCGCTAAGGAACTAAAAATGAATAATAACTCTTTAATTAGTGAAATAAAGATATGGTTCTCATTAAAAACTTGCTGAGCATCATCGAAAACAGATAAATCAGTCATAAATCAGTCGAGCACGTGAGAAGCGTAATAGTGCGCCAAAGTTCCCACTCGTGGAGCAGGCACAATGCTGGGGCTCTCATAAGACACGGAAAAATTGCGCGGAGCGTTGTACCTGCTCCACGAGTGGTAATTTCAGTGCGCTACGCTTCTCACGTGCTCAAAGTTGTTTTTTTTTTTTATTACTGATTTAGTGGTTTTCGATGACGCTCATCAAGTCTCTTATTGGAACCAGAGGTCTATTTTCAATATTCAAAAGTTAATTAGGCATTTTAGTTAATTAGCGAACTAATTAGTAAGTATCGCGCATTTTCGAGTAATGCGGTCCAGAGAAAATTATCCTTTTATTACCTCCAATAGACTAATTTGAGGAATATTTGCCGCTCTTACGCGAAACACGATATATATATATATATATATATATATATATATATATATGGGGGTTCAAGTCACAAGGCTCGATCCAAAATGGACCGTAAAAATCAACGCCTGCATGTAGAAATTTAAACTTTTCGTCCAAGGTGTATTTCACAGGTCGGTTTCTTTTTGTAAAATTACAAAGCGAAGTTCACTTTTAGTATAAAATAGGGCCAAGAAACTTGCCAGGGTCTACGGCGGGCGGTGACTCAGACGACCAAGTCCAGTAGCGGGCTGTGTTTATTTATATATATATATAATGGGAATGAGTGAAGATTTACAAGTACAGCCACAGTAATAATGCAAACGAAGACGGGAGAAAGTGATTATTGAGCTTATTGCATTAAAGTTAGGAAAAGGGAAAAGGAAAGAGAGCTGGTGAAAAACTGGGCAAGGAGCTCCTGGTCTCGAGCCAGTGGTCGTGGCATGCACGGCCGTTCTCTTCCCAAAAACTTGAAACCGGCGATTTCCTAAAAAGGTGGACCATAACCTTATAGAGAAATTATAAGCATTTATTTCGAAACGACAAGGTCAAATTAGAGGTTATTGACTTTTGTATCGCTGTATTTCTTTCTTTCTCCTGTCCGCCCCACCTGCATTCAATGCGGAGGCTACTCCCTAATGAACACACATACTGGTCCTGTCGCAGGCCCTCAACCTTCCTCCCTCCTTCCCTCCGGAGCCCCTATTCCTGGGCTAGCTGAACCGCTCCCCCAAAGTTTCTTCAAGCCATCCTCTGGCCACCTCCTCGCCACCCACATTGAAAAACAAACTCCATCCTCGGGCTCCAAACCCAACGACTCCAGGAAGGACGAAGACAGTGCATCCTCGTGTTGTGACGAAGATTATACACGACTCGGGCTAGAGTAATGTAATAGAGTTCATTCTCTCCCTCCCTCTCTCTCTCTGTCATGGACAACTTTCTGTGGCATTTTCCACGAGGAGAAGAGTGATATGCAAACCCATAGCCTTTTCTATACTCACAAAGCCTGGCAGTTCGATGACGGAGCCATAGGGTGCCCGGTCGATGATTTGGAGCGCGAGGATCTGGTAGCACAGAGCATTTCTCGGGAAGTCTGGTATTCAGCGCACAGTTTTCGCAGCGGCGAGGACCCAAAACCTGGTGTTCATATCCGACGAGAAAAGAAGCGATAGCCCGAGGAACGCGAGAAGCGCGAGCGGACATTCTGCCGCTCGGGTTAAGTGTGTTTCGGCGTCTCGCCGCAGCGGGGTGACCGCTACATGCCTGTTGTCTGCCGCTCTACCTTTTCACTTTTGGCGGCCGCGTCTCGTGGCGATCTGCCAGGCTTTGTCAGCATAGAGGAGGCTATGGCGAACCTTTAATCGGTGCCTATGCACGCGCCCTCATACATTTGACTCCATAGCCACAAAACAAATGTGCATGGAAACACGGGTATATGACGCTTTGCACTCGCGCCAGATTACAGCCGCCATTACTGACCTTCTCTTGTCTTACCGAGCCACTGAAGCGGGCTTTGACGAGCCTCCAGAAAGGCCGATTCTGGGGAGAAGGACACAGTTCGATCTAAAATGGCAATAACCAGTCCTGCTGAGGTAATGATGGAGGGAAGTGATGAGAATAAATGAAAACAAAAAAGCAAGGTCGGTTATGGCGGCGCCCATGCACAGCTGCTGCAAAGCGTCTTTATCATAGCTGCCGTGCAAACGCGTTCATGCACCCTCGCACCTGCTGTTTCCGCTTCGCTCGCACTACATTCGGAAGCGTTCCTTGGAGTAGCGTGGTCGTGCTTGGTGCTTCGTTGTGAAAATCCTTTAACTCGAACCGTGATTTAAAAAATGAAAGACGTTTACAACACCCTGTAACGCCGAATTGGAGCGCAGCTCTTGAGGAGGAGGGGAAGGGTACTGAGGGGAGGGTACACCCCTCCTCGCTCCTCCTCCTCACCTCCTCACATCCTCCCCGCTTTTCCTCCTCCCTTCCTCCCTCCTCTTCCTCCTCCTCCTTCTCGTCCTTCTCCCCTCCTCCTCCTTTCCCTCCTCCTTTAAGCTCCTCCTCCTCCCTCTGTTTCCTCTCCTCATCCTCATCTCTCCTCCTCCTCTCTTCCCTTCAATCTTCCTCCTCCTCCTCCCTCGCCCTCCTGCTCTTCCCTGGGATCCAGCAAGACTTGGTGACAAGGGCCCGGATAGCCAGCCGTAGCCAGGGTATCCCGGACTAAGGATGCCCTCCACCGGGCGGGTGCCCTAACATCTGCACCTGATGCTCGATAAATAAAGGTTTATTCATCATCATCCTCTTCCCTCCCCCTCCTCCTTCATCCATTTCCTCCCCTCTCCTTCTCCTTCTCCCCTTTCCCCTCCCCCTCTTCTCCGCGCCTTGCATTATGGGAAATGCCCCATAATGCACCGCGCGGGAACCTCCTGACATCACTAGGGTCCCGCGCGGTGCATAATGGCCAGGGCATTTCCCATAATGCAACGCGCGGGAAGGAGAGGGAGGAGAAGGAAGGGGGAGGGGGAGGGGAGGAGGAGGGAGGTGGAAAACGAGAAGGGGAGAAGGGAGAAGAAGAGGAGAAGGAGGATGAGGGGGGAGGGGCATAAAGGATAAGAGGAAGCCGTCACGAGTGACGTCACAAGGGTCCCGCGCGGTGCATTATGAAACATTTCTCATAATGCACTGCGCGGTTACGCCGACGCCGCTCAAGCCGGAAACGGGCGCTTAAGGGCTGCGCTCTAAATATATATATATATATATATATATATATATATATATATATATATATATATATATATATAACGGGCATGGTGGCGGGAGGCCGAAGGCGTGGGTATAAAACTGAGAACAAAAAAACCCTTAGTGAAAACAGCAACATCGTCCGTTGTTGCTGTTTTCACTAAGGGTTTTTTTCTTCTCAGTTTTATATATATATATATATATATATAGGTATATATATATATTCCATTTTTGAGAAATGCAGAGAAACATGGACACGAACTTACCATCCCGAGCTTAGGCTGGCCCCAGAACCAATTCTTGTAGGCGATAGGGGAGCCGTCCAACCACTTCGAGCCCCCCGTGATGGTCTTCAGGCCGATCCAGACATTTGTGCTGGCGTCGCCCAGGTGACTCAGCAGAAACTCTGCATCAAGTTCATCAAAACAGGCAGCATGTAGCGATATTTCAGTTTCAAAGACATTCTTGGGCTCCCCCCCCCCCCCCCCCTCCTTACAAAGGTGTAAGGAAAAAACGTACTAAACAGAACAAAATTGACCCGCGGAGTGAGTGGCCTTTCTAGGGCAACTGTCTATGTCCTACTTGAGGAGCACATACAGTTATTCTAGCCTCGAATAACCAGGTGGCTTCGTGAGTTACTGTAGGCATCGCAAGAGCAGCCGTAAATGTGTAGGCAACGAGCTCCCTTCTCTATTTTGTTTCGTTTTGCACTGTACGTTGCCCTTGACCTTTGTACTTTGACCCTCGACTTTTTCCTTTAAATTTGGGCAGGAAAAGTTACCTGAAATGTATTTTACGTTATACTGGACCTGCGAGTAAACAATTTTACACAGAGATGGAATTGAAAGATAAATGAAAGTGTGGAATCTCCCCTTTCCCATGAGCACATCACTTTTCGATGGAGTCCTCCGACCAGCGGCGATGCACTTACGCCACAGGTGCAGAGGCCACCTGTGGCACTTGCGCCACGGGTGGTCTCTGCATGCAGTCGTAAAAGAATGAGGGCTGCCGTTGGATGAGACCAACGCCAGCCACCTTCATTCTTCAATGGCAGCATGCAGATACAAAATCACCTGTGGTGAAGGTGCATCGCCGCTGGTCGAGGGACTCCATCAAAAAGTCGTGTGCAGCTGGGAAAGAGGAGAATCCAAACTTTCATGTGATTGTAAAATATATCCATTCCATCCCTTAAAGCAAACATGTTTGACAAAAGTTTGTCTGGTCGGGATGAAGCGATAGTGTATATTTTTACTTCCTCATCGTTCCATCCCTTAGTAAAGAAGGTGACCGCCCAGGAGGCAAAACTTAATGAACATCCCTCCCACATAATTCTTACCAGCACAATCGCAATACAAACGAGACGCCAGTTCCTCGTACGTTAAAGCAATACTACAACGAAATTTCGGCGCTCATTTTTTGGTCTATATGTGTTCAAAGGAGCACCATCACCATCACAAAAAAAATCACGAAAAGGAATTTTAAAACGAATTAAACGATTAGCCAAGAGCACCTGGTGGATGTCGCTAACGCCTCGCTTGTAATGCCGTTATAGGAACCTTGACAGCTAGTGACAGAGGTTGTCTCACCTCCGGCCACGACGAGAGAAGAGGGGCAGGAGGAACTCCCCTCTTCCCGAGAATGCGTTTTGTGTGTCGCAGAAGTCGCTATTGTCCCTCTACAAGATTTCAGAAAATTAACCCGTCACTCAAAATTCGTAAAAAAGCAGCCGCTTCGGTGGCTGGAACGACTAGGCCATCCTCTCGACGTCAGCCTTGCCGTAGCTTTGCTCGTCCTGAGGCGACCTACACTCTAATAAAAAATGGAGGAAAAAAGTAGCAACGGCGCGCCTTCCTCCCTTCTACTGACGCGCCCCCAAGCGGGCACGAGAAAAGGGGAGGAACGAAACGTTTTTCTCCTTCTCCAGGCAGACGGGAGAAAGCTTTCGCCCTCCCGACTCATCTTCTTTCGGTTTCGTTTTTCGAGCATGTCGCGCACGTTGTTCAATAAATAGCTGTTGAGTTGATCGAGCTTCAGCGGCAGCGAAGGCCGCCTGTAATTCCGTCTTCTAGTCTAAACGTGCAGAGCATTTCGGTTGCATTGACGTTTTTATCACTAATTTTATCAAACGAGCAAACGAAGCCGCTAGAAACAGCGAAGTTCCGGAGCAGTGTCAGCAGCGCCACGTACACTGGGGGATGGCCGTCTCCGCATTGCGGGACTCGCGCGGCACGGAACTACAGTTGTTACAGTAGCAAAACTACGCGGAACTGTGTCGACGTTTCCGACGTTATGGAAACCGCAGGAACTGCGTCCAAGACAGGCAGGTTTTTCTGCCGGCTGCCTGGGTGCCTTCTGTGCTGAGTTCGGTTCTATTTTCTGATGCCGAGTGCCACCGGCGTTCAACGTGGTTCTGTATTTGTGCGTGTCAGCAACATAGCTGCAACATCGTGATGGCAGTGTTGTGGGTTCTGAACAGACGACTAGAATTATCGCCGATGTGACCGTGTGTTCGCGCATCATCGGTGTAACAAGAAGATGAGATCGTATACTGTCGGGGGCATTGATGCCGCTGGTCGGGCAGTGATCGGAGGGGGCGGGGTGTCGCAGGTTCACATTCCGCTTTACATTAAAAAGTTCAATACCACTTTAGGGATAACGTGCAATCGATCAATGTGCGGATAGTCATGTTGGAACGCTGGTCTGAACAGTATAAGCTCCTATCGTACAGTGGCCAATGTGACTGTCGGAATTGTCTCGTCCCCGAGGGCGATTGCGCTCTGGGGCAAGGACAACAGTACGAAATCGTAACGGAAAGTACGTATATTTACAGTGTGGAATTTTAGCATGAAAAAACAATAGTAGGTAAAATTGAAAAAACAAAAAGTTACCCTTTATTTTGCTGTTTAAATATACTACGGTTCCTGGAGAAATTGCCCTCCAAGTGGCGCGCTAGGATGCGCTCTAGAAGTTTTCGGGCTCGCCACGGCGTAGCTCTGTAAACTTAACACCTGCCGGAAGTCGCGGCTTTGACTGCATTCAAGTTGATCGAAAAGCGATTTCTCAGCCCGCGAAGCATCACTGCTGAGTGAATATCCGCTCTACAGAGATTAATTCAAGACGGCAATTGCAGCTTTGCGCGAACAGCACAAATAGAAAAACAAACAATACAATAGAAATATAGGCTACGACGTGCCGTGCGGGGAAACAAAACCATGGCTACGAACCACATTGGAGCGGCTTGATTTATTGGCTTTCAAATAATTACGGCATGATCGAGCGTTTGCTTTTTAATAAGAGATTTATCCCCTGAACCATTCAAAATACTCTTACAGGTATGACATTGCTGGAAAAAATCAACATGCTGGGAATATTTTTTTATTGCTTATTCAGTCACCGAGAAATTCCGTCCGTTCAAAACGACCAGTATAAAAGACGGAAACGCAGAGCACGGGTGTAGTGTTCGGGTTAGCTAGTGTTCGGGTATGTTCGCCTGATGCTTTTAATAAGCGTAATCTGTGTATAGTAGAGGCCCCAAGCGTAATAGTTATCTAAGGAAATCAAATTATTTTTTTAAAGAACATGAATTGGGCAGTACCTAGCGCCACCTAGCCTAGCTACTTGCAATTACTCTGCTTGACCCCGCCATCTGGTGGCTAGCGATTTAACCTTCTTTCACGCTACGCGATACACAGCGGCTTCGAGTTCGTTCTTTCGAGAGCGGTTTTTGGTTTCGCGGATTGAGTTTGCCCTTCTCCGTGATGTACGGTTGACGAAGGAATTGTGATTCGAGGAACACCAAAGGTAAGACGCAAAGTGCGCGAAGTAACTGGGTATCGGTTGTCTCCGTTTAACATCGTAGTGCTGTCGACGAGAAAACTGAGTAACTGCTTTCGAAACGCAAGTTTCTGTACCTGTGGTTGGAATCTGGCTTCGGAAATAAACACAGTTCGCGGAAAGCTCGTGTTACGCTTTTATTTGCTGCTGCTCTCGTCCCGCACAAGAGACGTAGCGTCCTCGTCAAGCCTTATTGGGCTCGATTTGCTCGATTCGGGGCCGCCATATTGAGATGCAAGCGACGGAGGAACTTTGCTCCCCTGCTTCAGGAACGAAAGTTTCTCCCTTTCTAAAGGAACATAGGTTACAAGACCGTTCCTCCCGTAAGGGAGGACTATCCATACCCTTTTTTCTAAGAGTGTACGTCACGATTGCGTTGGATGTCACGCGGTCTCCGCTGGGCCTTCTCCGAGCGCTTGGCAGAGTGGACCGTTTCTAACGAAAAATACAGCCACCAGGCTCAAAATACAAACGCGCGATTGTCATTTACGGATATTGTGGATCATATTCAATCTATTTTTGAACACGACGGGAATATTTCAAATTTCGTTGAAATATCCCTTTAAAGAGCGGGCACCCTCAATTGGTAAAGGCGCAACGCAATGTAGAAAAGAAAATAACTCACGAAACTACAAGAAACTTTTGGCATTTCGGAGGGGTGTCAACATGCGTGAGAATAAAAGAGCGCATATCGCTCGGAAAAAAGTTGCTTATTAAAATCTTTTGCCCATAATTGCGCCTTTTGACGGCTAGCAGAGCGGTAGATCGCTATCATTATTTAATCGGTACGGCAGGCTAACGTTACCGCAAACATTATCTAAAATGACACCCTTGAATACCTCTCCGCTCGTTCAACACAGATGCAGGAACATTGACGTCCGAATGGCTATACGGAGCAAAACTGGGGGAGAGGAGGAATTGAGAGCGCGAAGGGATGTCAGAGCACCAAGCTCTGATTGGAAGTGTAGAGGGACCCGAAGGGGCTATAGCTGCCTTTGTCACTACTCGCTGCTCGAGCGCGTTCGAACGCCGAACCACGGATTCTGACGTTCGAACGCGGGGCTCTGCACAAGAAGCAGACGGCGCCTTGTTGGCTCTCAATAAACAGAGACAGTGGGGAAGTGCTCCGCGTCCACCCAGTAATCCTTCCAATCATAGCTCGGCACTCTGGCGTCGCCTCGCGCCCTCATCTTCTCTCACTCAGATTCTCTTCGTATTGCCTCCTGTCGGAAATAACCCGCTCGTTTAGTGACCCTTGTTCACGACAAGGGTGGACACGTAAACTTAGCTTTACTCACATAAGAAAATATTATCAAAATGGTTTGAAACATACAAGGCAATGAAACTATCCCCAAGTAAATCGGTCTTTACCTGTTCTTCCGTTGGTGCGCTTGCCTTTATCAATGCTCCACTCACGCTGCCTCAAGTGAGTCTTTGGCTCATTTCGTTTTGAGTAATTCGGCGAACAAGTTATTTAAAAAGAACTAATTTGGCCTTCCATGTACAGGGCGTCTTTTTTTAAGTTTTACAAGACTGATTTAAAAAGAAAAAAGAACGTGGAGGTTAGACTAATACGGTCTTAGCAGTAGAGATATAACTTATACGGTTATGGGGAAATAATGTAGGGGGCTAATGATCATGATAAGTCGGATAATTAATTAAAAGTTATTAACGAGCTTTCTAAGTATTGAAGATAGCCATGTGGTTCCCGTTAGAAACTTTCTGAGCAGAAGCAAAGAAACATTAAATCAGTAGATTCTACAAACGTTTGGGGCACGTGGGAAGCGGGGTGGTGTGTCGAAGTTACCACACGTGAGGCAGGTGCAAGAGAAGGTAAACAAAAACGCGCCCGCGCGATTTTTTTTTTTGTTTTTTTGTTTTTTAATATTTGCATTTTCAAAGTGTCACCCTCGCGCATGTTGCGCGAGCGGTAACTTCAGTGCACTATCGCGCTTCCCACCTGCTCAAGGTGTTTCTAAAATCCACTGATTTAGGGTTTTTGATGGCAGTCAGCTAGTTTCTAAGTGGAAAGATATAAGTTTTCACGAATTAAACGTTATTTAACAATTGTTAGTTTATAATTCGACTTATTCTGACAATTACTCCTCTAAATTAAGTCCCCCTGGCCGTATAGCTTACTTGCACAGACCGCATTAGTATTGATTTCACGTTTTTGTAGAGAAATCTGTAAAGCCTTAAAAAAAAAACACCCTAGGAAATACCATAGGCTTGATCATGTTGTTATACATTTTCTAAAAATACACCGCATCGTTTTTAAGTCACTCTTTTGCATACTTATGCGTAGCCTATACGATGACAGAATATATTGCCTAATTGTTTGCCAGTTCAGCTGCCTATAGTCAGTACTATTTGCTTACTATAAATAGATGCATAATGTGGTTCGAGAAATTATGACTTGATTGCTACCCTATAAGCACCTCACAATAGACGCCTACCTTCGCCCTACTAATGGCGGTAATAAAGCTACAGTATGTAGTATTTTATTGGGCACTGTCCCTTTCGCATGTCAATGACGGATGAGGATGTGCTCTTCACGGTACAGTCCTTCCTCAATATCTTTCCGTTTAGATGGTGACATAGATACAACTGCTCAGAACGAAGCGCCAACACCCATAGACTAAGGTATATGTGGATAAATCTTAGACTATTCGAGTATGCTTTAACATAGACGCCTTAACATACACGACCTGGACAGAGATGCCTTGATACAATTCTTCAGATCAGAGCTATAGAGCCGATTACGTGCAATCAACAAATTGGCGACTACCCAGCTCTTGTATTCGGTTCCTGCTCCGCATCGTACTATACCAAACTTATTCCCTCATCGATAGCCAGAGAGCCGCTATTAGTACGGAACCTGCGTCATTCTTTATATGATGACAGTGATCAAAGTTGCCGACTGAATTTAAAAAAGGTATATTACTTTCGCCTAATAATACTTCTCATACAATTTTATGTAGGACGTAAACATTTGCATCATGATTAAATTAGTAATGAGTGTCTTCACTGAGTGATGAAAAGCCCCTTACACGTTACGCACGTTATCTGTTATGCACACGTTATGCAATGTTATCAACGAACACAAACGAATGTCGAAAAGCACGTACGTTGAACTTGCACCGAGGGAATGGTGACCAGCTGAGCGTTTTGACGAATGCAGTGTTGCCGAGCATCGTAGAACCGAAGACGGCTGGTGTTGCTCGCAAAAAAGTAGCACTTGGAGCCTAATGTGATAAAAGAAAATGAAGAAACAAGAAGACAAGTGTTACAGACATAACACGTTCACATTAACGCGCATTCAAAGACAGGAACGTATTTAGTCATTAATAATCGCTGTAAACGTAAGTGTAACCGTACTAATTATTCATGTAAATCTGTGCAAGAGGGTGCACTATTTAAAAATGACAAAAGCAAAAAGGGGCACGCGGTGGCAGAAATAACTGTTAAATGGAAAAAAAATAATGTTAGGTAATATCTATAGAAGCGTCAGAATTTGTCTGTATTCAGCGTCAACTTGTCTTGTGCTACATTGTCAAGATTTGAGTAGTTTGCAGAGTGAAGATGCCCCGCACTGCTGCGAGAGCGCATGACTACGTCCTACGTCTCATTCGCCAGCGCTCTTGCACAAAAGAGGTGCCAAGTGAAGCCTCGCGATCTCGCAGTCAGCTCGGAGAGATTCGAAGCCGTACAGAAACTTCGCTTGCCTCGACAAAGAGTCACAAAAAAGTTACAAAACACTCACAAAAAAAAAATTAACGCTCAATTGCTACACATTTTGATTACTTCACGACGTTTGAAGCCTGCTCATACTCACCGAATGCTACCCAGCCTTCGTCGCAGTTTCCGAGGTTTCTTTTCAACTGCGTAGCAGATGTACCTGCAGGCGTGGACAGAGAAAACAAAAAGTATAGAAATCAGTAAGGCAAAATCTACGCCACAAAGATTTATCTGTATATTAATCCTGCAGATAACGTAAGGTTACACTTATAATGAACAGCGTGTCCTCAGCCGCGCTGGTAGTTTATAAGCTTTTCTGAGCTCGGGGAAGGATATCTACCGACTTTATTTGTGGGATTAAGATATATAGTTAAACTTATTTTGGCAACGAAAGGGCGAACTCGTCGGTGTTCGTACGACTGTTAAAATGCCTATGGCGATGCACCCTTGAACCGTTTGTATGTTTTTAGTAATAGTATTACTTATTTAGGTTCAGGAAACTGCGGCACCGCAGAGAGGCAAGTAGCCCATAATACCATGTATGCCGGCAGCGCCGCATTTAATGACGATAAAATGACATACACTCTAAGATATTTGTAGTTGGATTTCGATTTACCGACAAAACTTGACGGGTGGAACCAGCTGAACAAGGGAGGAAGGAGACACCGAAAAGACAACCGACCGCAACACAACGTCGTCGACCTCAGCGTTCTATGAACTATTGTTCGACAGCGCAACATTCAGATATTTGCACGTACATTCTGTTTTGATGAAGTCGTTATTCACACTCCCTCGAGTATCAATTTTTTTTCTTATTCGTAGTAAAACCTACATCGACACAGTTTTTTTTTTTTTTTATTCAAATTCATCTTCCATTTACAACACCAGTTTTCAACACGTATCAGGTCACTAGTAACTGTTCTGCCTCTTGTCCACTTTACATAAGTACTTGCGTACTTTACACTTAAGTACTTTACATAAAACACAATCATCGGCAAACAGTCGTATAAGGGATGTTATTTGGTTAGAAATGTCATTAATCTAAGTTAAAAACAATCGTGGTCCTATGATGGAGCCCTAGCTGGGGGACTCCAGTCATCCCATCAACGTCCACACACTGGAGCAGCTGGGACAAATACATTCCCATCAATTTTATAACAGATGAATCTAAATTGAGCATCTTAAGTTTCTGAAGAAGAAACGGGTGTAATCCGTGTCAAGTGCTTTGCGGAAATTCAAGAAAATACAGTTCGTTTGACAGCATTCGTCAATACCAGACACCAATTTGGGAAAAAAACTTAGCAAGCTGTGTCGTTCAAGGATATACCTTACAGAAGAAAAAAAAACCTAGTTGCTCAATTATATCTGAATTGTTTGCGTCTATGTGAAACCATTATTTGTGAATAAAAAACGTGTTCAATAATCTTGCATGAAATAGACGTTAAAAATAGGTCTGTAATTAGAGACGATCTTCTTGGAACCGCCTTTGTGGATATGTAGTACATCGTGAGCTACTTTACAGTCATCTGGTAGGACGCCAGTTGAGAACGACAGGGAGTATGTTAAGTATAAATAGAGAGAAATTGATTAAGCACATCGCTTTAGAGCAGGTGGTGAAATTCCATCAGGACAGCTGGTTTTGGTTTCATCGATGTTCTGCAATAAGGCCTCAATGTCACTTACACTAAATTTGACTTGATGCATTTCGGAAACATCGCTAACGTACAAGGAATAATTGTAACTGCACTGAGGTAAAAGAACGGACTGAAGGTAATTATTTAAGCATGTAACTTTCTCGGCGTCGTATAACATTACCCGCTCATTTTGCACAGCTTAACTAATTCCTACGAAGTCCGGACCAGAATTTGTAACATACTTCCATACGTAACATGCGTAACATACGGAACCTGAACCAAATCATTTTTTTCACGCCAGAGCAGAACCGATATGTTTTTCATGCGGTTTTCGGTTCATACTCGAAGTCAGGTCACGTGAAAAGTACGTGGCGAAAAACACAGTAACTTAAAAAATAAACCGAAAAATGAAAAAAAAAAATTCCCGCAATCCGGAGTTGAGCCGGACCGATATAATTATTTTTTTCATTCCTAGGCAAAACTGACAAATTATTTTTGTGGTGTTTCGTCCATGTGGGAAGTCAAAAAGCGAAAAATGTAGGTAGCGGAAAGCTCTGTAAGGTTCCATTATCAGGTTTTCACGTAACGGTCGTATTCATAATTTATAAAATTCCTCTCGAGAACTCAAACTTAACTATAAATTCTCTAGGATTTCTTGTCTTACGTATTTCTTGAACAAATGCCCACATTATTTCTAACCTTTTCTTGGGGACCGGAAAAAGTTCATCAAAGAAAATTTATAACTAGAACATACCCAATTCGTACGTCAGCAAAAGTGACCAACTAATGAGCCTGTTTGTTGGCAAAACGGTGAGTTGGGCTAGTTGGTTTTTCATCTCGTACTGAAGGCAAAAAACAGGACAAAAAGAGGTATAGACAACACGCCAAGTGTTGTCTATACCGTTCTTTGCCATTGTTTTTTTTTTTTTTGCGTTCAGTTTGAGATTTGTTTGCTTTTTCTTGTCTTCGATTTTGTAGAGTCGTTTTCAATTTACTTTAAACTCATTTATGTCATTGTACAACTGATCGGATAAATATATAGCGATACAAAGGCCGCTGGAGATTTAAGAACCTGCTCTAGTTGCCATCCTGTGGCGCTTCTAATCTGCTTTTAAAATAACTCAGCTGATTGAATAATCTACGCTGCAAACATGGTGAAAGCTGTGCGTCTCCTTGGTGAAATGAACGAGGAATGTTGTGACTCCGAAAAAGAGATCGGCCCCAGTGACCCTGAAGTTGAGTCCCAGGCTCTGCAATCTCTACTGGAGAATCCTGAGAGCGCACACTCTGATGATTCCGGCTCGCTAGAAGGGATGAGATGCGCCGCTTACACGCTGCGGCTGGCAGTTAGGCGCGCCTTGAAATGCTCGGGCTGCTGGCTCATTGTTGAAGAAAGCCGTGCGCTTGTTAAGATATTACGTGTCCAATCTGTTATGTCCCTGATCAGAAAGCTAGGGTTGAAGATACCAGTGCTGAACCGTCCAACGAGGTGTCTTCTGCGCTGAGTGTACATGGATCCCCACTACCGTTTTCTCACCCCTGAGCAAAAGTACCCGGCCACGTTGCGTTTGACAAAGACTTAAAGGCGGATCACAGCTCTGCAATGCGAGCAAGATTCTGCCCTTCTGAAACTGCGGCGGCTCCAGAAGATCCGCAAGGCGCTCCTCAAGGAAAGAGAGGTTGAGGCTAGCATGCACGTTCGAGGTATACAAGGAACCGCGGCTTTCGAGGGACGCTAACTTGTTGCAGTTTTGGGAGGAGAGAAGGGAACGCCACCCAGAACTTGTGATTCGACTCACGTCAGCGTGGAGCGAGCCTTTTCTGCACTGAAGTTCATTTTATCGTTTCAGAGGTGCCCTCTTTCGCCTGGATATGCTTGAGGATGTCCTGCTTCTTCGGTCAGCTGCCTGACATTGAACTGCGTTTTCACCCACGTCCGGAGGTGCCCCAGCTCTAGCTCGTTCATTCCACACAATAAGTTGAGCCTTTGCTTTTTAAATGTTAAACGTTTATAAAATCCCCCCCGCGCTTTTTTTTTTCTTTTGGTACGCCTGTTTTGACCTTCACTGAGGTTAAACAAGGGCAAAGAGGACTGCCCGTTGGCCATTGTTCGATGTCCTTACACTTGTGTAGTTAACATCTTGACGGGTATCCTAACACAAAGGTGGGATACAATACGAACTTGACTGGTCCAGAAGTGAAACTGCTGACATTAGAATGCTCTTTGTGACCTTCACTTGCGAAACTCGTTCTCATTGGATACTTGCTACACGACCAATCAGAACATAGCCACTGACGGCAAAATGGTGCGCACTTTGCTTGGACTCAATAGAACAGTCAATCCTTTGCGTCTGTTCGGGCGGTCCGGTCGTCTCAAGGGCCCTATCGACAACTTGAAAGGTAAGTTTCAACATTACATGTTACTCAGATAAATTTGTTTCCTAGAATTCGCCTTTATAACAGGTGTATGTTCTTTTTTTTTAGACTGTTCGTTTGCAATATGTCACTGCCTAAAAGTGGCAAGAAGCGAAAAATAGATTTGGAATGCCGGACATTCAATGATCAGTGGACAATTGATTATTTATTTGTTCAACATAAGGATAAAGCTTTATGCCTCGGCTGTAAAGAAGCGCTATCAGTATTTAAAAAAATTAGCGCATCTCCACGTGGTGAATGATGTTGATTGGGGCGAAGCTCGGGTGGTGCTGATGATACTGATTTTGGTCATAGGTAGTGCTGATGGTCCCGTTTTCATTCATGTCAGTAGGAGAATGTGTGGTTTTCTTCTTTTAAGAAGATAGATGGGGTGGCAACTTAGAACCCCCAACTCTTTTTTTTTTTTCTTTTTCTTGATACTGATTTTGGTCATAGGTAGTGCTGATGGTGCCGTTTTCATTCATGTCAGTAGAAGAATGTGTGGTTTTCTTCTTTTTCTTTTTGTAAGAGAGATGGGATGGCAACTCAGAACCCCCTACTCTTATTTTTTTTTATTAATACTGATTTGGGTCATAGGTAGTGCTGATTGTGCCGTTTTCATTCATGTCAGTAGTTTTTTTTTTATTTATTTGATGTAGAGAAAGGAAATCAGAGATGTTAGCCTGGAGTTGATCTCCTGACTGGTTACTCTGAGTGGGGAGGGGAGTTAGGGAATGGAAGAGATAAGTATGAAAAGAAGGCGTTCGATCTCAGGCTCACACACACACACACACGCACGCGCAATACATACATTAGAAAAAAAAGGCGTGCAACTTCTGCGACCTTAGGTCAGAATCTTTTGTCAAGGCCTGTTGCTGACAGGAACTTTAGAAGGGCATTCGTTGATTTTGCGGCGTAGCTTTCGTCATCCCATGGTCCGAGAAGATGTTGAAGAGTGAGGGCTGATCCAGTTGTCTGATGAATGTCTTTGTAGAGCTGGTGCCGATTATCAGTATACTTAGGGCATTCAAGTAGTATGTGTTTGATGTCTTCCATGGGACAGTTGGGCGATTCGAGCTTTCCGATGAGATGAAGATAGTAGTTTGTGCAA